CTTGGTTAATCTTGAAAAAATTGCTTCTGAATTTAATCCGGCTGATATGGGAACTAAGTGTTTGTCTGTTGAGAAGTTTAGATCATGCTTGAATATTTTGAACTTTGATACATGTGATTAATGTGCTATATGTGAACTTTGTGTGACGTAGCCGACTTTGAGTCTGCTACATAATTGCCCTAACTTTGTGTTTGAGTGCAGGTACGGTAAGGTAAGGCGATGCTGACCCCTGTCAACCCGAGTCTTGTGAACCGACTTTGGGCCAAGGTGGAGATTGTTGGTGTTGTGGCCCAAGTGACATTCTATTGATGGCCCAATACTCAAACTATCTTCTGGCCCAATTTCTTTGGCCTGGCCTAGTTTGGCAGCCCACATTTCCTGTAGAATCCCTAAGTTTAGTCTTCAAATTAGCAGCCATCAGGATTTAAAAGCAAGAGAGTCCTTAGACTTAAAACAGAACAAGCACGCAACAAGCATTTTTGAAAAATCTGATCCTATTTTCACTCTTCTCTCTCTGTTGCTCAAAAGCTCTCGCTCTCGTCACTCTTTTTTTCAAAACTTTGTGTTGAATTATCAAATCCTCTCTTCTCTTATTGAATCTTGGTGATTATAAGGTAGTGTATGTCCTAGGGTTCTTCGTGTGTGAGCCGCGTTAGGTTGTGAGGGGATTTTAGGGGGGTTTCGGGTACGGGCTGAAATTAGGGCCGAGAGTTGTGCATGATAGGTGGTGCTACCCTAGGTTTTCAGTGCCGGAGTCATTGAGGTCGCTTGTCCAATCGATCGGTTCTTTGTGGGATAAACGGTGACTCTCATTTTGTGGGTTTGACAATAGGGGACTGAGCCTGCTCGATTTCGAATCACCTTTGTGACATTCGTGGGATTCGGGCCTCATTTAAGCACTCAGCAAAGGGTGTACTCGTTCCTATTTTTATGCTTTGTTTATTTTTTCAGCTTTACCAATTATTTATATTGTTTAATTGCTGAATTTTGTTTGTCTATTGATTATTTTCGGTTTCGACTTGAAGCAAACAAACTGGAACAAGTTTGGGCTCAAACGAGGGCTGTCCGGGACAGAAAGGTTGCTGTCCGGGGCCTATCGAGTGCTTCCTGGACCTGCTTGGAGCTGTCCAGACCTGTTGGGAGCTGCCGGGACGAACCAGCTGTTATTCGGGACTGTTCGTGGCCAGCCCGGGCCCGGCGAGTCGGGCCAGACGACCACCCAACAGGGTGAGTCTCCAAAAAAAAAATTTCTGCATCCGCAAAGACTCGAACTCGAAACTATCAAACTACTTACCACTTGAGCCAACCTATGTTGGTTGTTTGGTATTATTTTATTAAATAGGATTCATGTATACAAAAATTATATTGAGTCATCGAATTGTTTTCTTATGGAATTTTGTTTGTACTATTTTTGAGTAGTTGGTAACTGAGTTACCCGGACTCGGGTCGTTCTCAAAGGAAGGCTATTCAGACACAGATTTAAGCAACGATCGACTCACACAAGAAAAGAAAATAAGATCCTAAACACTCTACTCGCAATTTGGGGTTCGATTAAGCTAAAGATGACAA